GAGTATTGAGCGAAGACAACTGTTAATGAAGGTTTGTAGTTTGTTTGAGATGCTCTTTAGGACGCGCTGGCCAAGTCTCTGATCCGTATAGTAGCAGTGACTTCACAGCGCAATATCAAAACATTATTAATTTCTATTATTTATTAGTATTTTGTATTCCTGAAAATATGAACTCCTTGTAGTAATATTTATGTTGACCTTTATTGTTTACAGCATATATGGGAAACATCATATTAGCTGAAAATCTATTGCATTTTCTTGAAGAATTGTGTTCTACTAAATTTCGGTTGTATCTGTTAAAGTTGTGGTGGTAGTCAAAGTTGAATCTTTAGGTAGTGAAGCATATCGATGGTGAATGTAAGATAAGCTACATGCAAATGGAAGTGTTTAGCCTCCATCTCCTAATATACTCGTGTTAATTAGACCACATAGTTTAATCAGAACAAGAAGCTGATATTTCAAAATACGTGATCACAAAATTACGGCGGTTACTATTCCTTATCTAACTAACCTGGGGCAAGTGTACGACGACAACGTGCCAAATGGAGGGCATGCCTGACTGCATAACTTTAGCTTAACCAGTTGATTGAAAGAGTGAAGGTTGGCACCCAATGTTGAATGATAAAAACTGTAGGTTAATAATTTGGGGGAAGTATTAACCACTAGAGAGTTAAAAAGGTGTGAAACACTATGCCTGTTTAGTATTCGTAAATGTGAAGGAATGTTGAGACCATGTTCACAAAAAATTTAGTAATTGTTACACTGCGGGCAAAGTATATTCCGGTTTTGCCTGATATTCTGTTGATGACATTTTTACGCTTTGTGTTCAGTAAAGTTCCTTGAAAGCGGTCCTATTTAATTTATGCATCTGCTCATATATATATCACAGTAGGAGTACATTAATCTTATGAAAAGGCATCATTTATTCAGTAGGTGTAGTTTATAAAGTACAGTACAGTCTGAAGAAGTTTAGTGGATGTTGACTAGCAGAGGAGTCTAGGATAAGCGGTTAATCTTATTTGAGGCTCGTCATCTGGATGTACCTGTACTCCCCAGTGAGACTGCAATTCAGTAACCATAGTTTCAAACTCCAAAGCGTTATCCACTAGACCACTTGGGGCACAACAGCCACCACAGGTGCAACAGGTATCAGCAGGAAAGTGTGTTTGTTTGAAGCTGGTACCCACGGTACATTCGAATTTGCCACACACACACACACACTGAGGAAGAGTAATCGATGGTGGGAGAACATATGCCCAAATGCCTTAGAAAATAAATGATTCTGTGAAACTTCAATAATCACAAATGGCAGACTACCAACTTCCTTTATAGCGAAACACTTATATAAAGCCCCCACCTCACCTCGCTGTGTGTACAAAGACTATTTTGATAAAGTTTTTACCTGATTACATTACTAAAAGCAGTTTGAATTATTTCCCTTCGTATTATTAAATCCCTAATCACTTTATTTATTTCATTTGGTATTTCATTTTTTCATATAATGTGATTTGACAAGCAAATATGTGATCAGATTGTTCGAAATGCATTGTGCAAACACATCACAGTTTTCTGACAAACCCCGACTTCTAATAACGCCATCTTAATATTCTTTCTAAGGTAGATAAAACGCAAAGCTAACAGTTGGTGGCTTTAGAATTCCATTAATGTTTAATAGCAGACAAAAGCATACAGAAGTAAAAAAGAGTAAGACATGAACTATGCTTAGCAGTGTAGCCAGTTACAGAAAGACCCTATACAAAGAGAAAAATTGATATTGTCATTTTACATTTTAAGATCTTTTATTTCCCCATAACACATTCAATAACCTAACTGTCTATAGTAAACACTTTTCTTTACATTCGATGAATTCTGACTGGAGCACAGAGCTTCAAGTTTTTGAAGTTTCAGAATTTGATGAAGTTATGTTAACCTCATGCACATTCCTTCCTTTTTGTTTTCTAAACTTGGCACCGCCTTGACGAAACTTATGAGTACTTCAACCAAGAATTCAATATGAATCTGTTGTGAAGTTTATAGGCATTTTATCATCAAACTATAAATGCATGAGATCGAGATGACTGTGAATAAATTTTTTTATAAAGTGTTCAAATTTTTTAGTGACCTAGAATGGTGAAAAATGCATCAAGTAGTTTGTAAAAAAAAGGAATTCTTTATTATTTGCCATTTTCTATATTTTTTTAAAAAAAGAAGGCGTTCAGCGATATCATTCTCAAGCTGTACAATCGCTAAAGGTACTCTTCGCTGAACTACGTGTTTTGTTTTCATTAATATCTGGATGGGGATTTTTCTCTTAGCAACAAAAGGAATGTTTTCAAATTTGTGTGTCATTAGAATTGTAATTTCTAGATGACTAATTATGTAATGTAAAAAGCATTATTATTATTGTTTCCTTTAATTCCTAGAGGAACATAGGGCTTCAGCCGTGCGTCTCAATTAACTTCGCTTCTCTGCTAGAGACTTCACCTGGCTCCAAGTCTGCCCACACGTTTTCATCTCCTCTTCACATGACCTCCTACAAGTCACCCACCCTCGCACTGACGACAAACTCACCGCTTCCCATTCAGTCGGGTTCCACTTGAGCGATGGCTTGTCTAGTGATGTCACTTGATGCTTTGTTTCCTCAGAGTATGGCCTGCAATCCATCTCCATTTCTTCCTGCCGATTTGTTTCACAATCAGTTCCTGCTGGGTTGGTTCGCTCATTGCCAGAGATCTCTGTTACTGATCTTTTCTGGTCGGCCATCTGATCTTGAGTATTGAGCGAAGACAACTGTTTATGAAGGTCTGTAGTTTGTTTGAGGTGCTCTTGATGACGCGCTGGCCAAGTCTCTGATCCGTATAGTAAGTAGCATTGACTGACTTCACATTGGAGTTGAAAATCCGGATCTTATTTTTGATGCTGAGTGCTGTTGACCTCCACACAGACTTGAGAGTAGTGAAAGCTTGTCTTGCTTTCCCGATTCTTGCTTTGATATCCTCGTCAGTTCCGTCCGCCTGTAGTTGAAACGATGCTTCCCAGTTCGGTAGGAAAAGAGGTTGTTTCTTTCAGGTTCCTTCCATTTATGCTGATTGTTGTAAAAAGCATTAGTCAGGTAGGAATTAAAATCAAATCACGTAAGTAAATTGAGTGAAGTTACACAACTGAAGCAGTTGAGTAGAATTCAACCAAAATTGGGAGAGAGTCAAGTTAACAACAGTGATAATAAGGGATAGAAATTCAATAGCGGGTGAGGGAAGAAAACAATACAATCCAGAAACAAAATCAAAAATTACGTACTTGGTGTTAAGGTAGATCAGGTCCATTGTAGATTTGATAACTGAAAAAGCTTCTTTTGTATGCAGAGTTCAGGATTTAACATGTGAATCACATTGCTTCCGCGGTTTGAAGAAGTTTGATTCATACTCTCTGAACGAGATTCCCATGTATTCTGTAGATGACTTTGAAATTCCTTTGTAGGTTAGACTGGTGTCTAGATTCGATCAGGTGTTCCAGGATAGAGCTGTTGTGAGAGGAACATTTTTCTCCTTCGCAAAAACATGAATATACGTTTGGATGACAAATGTTGGTTGCGACTGACGCACCTATCTCCACACGAGTAGGTGAATTAGTTGTTACACATTGACTAGGCCAGTAGTGGCAGCTTTTCTTTCAAATTCATGAGAATCATTGGTTTTGTAGAGAAAGTTATTCAAAGTTCAGCAGCGAAGAAGGTTTTCTCCAGCGAACAGAACAAGTGGTTTCTCAGTATTTCCATCAATGAGTCTTTATTGAATTATAGATTCAAGCAGAGAAGGTTTTTTGGAAGCAGAATGTATGGATGATTCTAGTGGTTTAGGCTTCATGAATTTTGTGATGAAACACTCTGGGTAGACATTTTCCAGGAAAATTCTTTTCAGAGTATTCAACTCTTCTTCCATAATGTTACTGCTGCAAATGTTGAGGATTCTGTGGCTCAGTGAACGGATCAAGTTTCGTTTTATGCATAGAGGCACCTAACTAGGAAGGTTAGTAAATTGTTCGTATCAGGTTTCTCTAGATGAATCTTTTTCGTGTTCCATATTGTTCATATCTTGTTATTTAGACGTCGAGAAAAGATATATTTTGTGTTGGACTGCTCTAATGTGAACTGAATTGCAGTATGGTAGCTGTTGAAAAAAGTCCTGAGTGCTTATCTAAAATTTACAAGTCAATCGGCACATCTCTGAGAATATATGTAACAACAGAAGACAAGGGCCAGGCAACAGATCGTTTATTAAGGAAAATCAACACATATTTATAGATTTTAATGTACATTATTGTAGATTATTGTTAGTAGAAAATACAGTCTTTTGATTGGTTGTTTCTCACAGAAAGTTAACCTTGCATCTCTTTGTGGCTGTGTCCGATCATCCATATGCTAACTGTATCCGCCTACGCAAAGCCTTTGTTCTCATTTTCTCACCACCAATATTGGGGACATAAACATTGATGTCAATTACTGTCTACCAACTTTGGCTAGCAGCCAGCTCTCACCATATATATATATATATATATATATGCGATTGTACAGCTTGAGAATGATATCGCAAAAATGAGTAACTCTTCACTGAACGTTATTTTTTTATCGACACTCCTTTTTCCTACATCATTCATTGTATTGTTTACCTTGATACTATTTTTTTAAAATTTAGTTCCTGTACGTTCCATGTGGAACATAGGGCTTCAGGCTACAGGCTTGAAGTTTCGGTAGCAGTGGTGTTTAGTTTTATGGGATGGGATTGCTAACCTCATGCCTACCCATCCTTTCCTCTTTACCATTTTTATTACTGGCTTAGTGAGGTAAAAGGGTTGCGTCGGCTGAGGATCGGCCCTCGAACCACTTGCGTATTTGGTGAGCATTCTAACGCTGTGCGAAAGACGCACACCTTGATACTATGAATAGACTATTATTCCTACTATTATTATTATTATTATTACCATTTTTTATTCCCTTTTTACAGGAACTTCATTTTGGTCAAAATATGAAAATATTATACTTGATAAAAATTCTAGCATAGAACCTTCATTTAAAGAATTTAGAGATAAAATCCATGCAGATTTTTGTACTAAAGATGATTCAAAACGTTGGGAATGTTGTGATCAAGCTAATCATCCTAGTTGTTCGACAATACCATCAAATGCTAAAGCAATTCAAACAATGATGGAGGATCCAGAAATAGATATTAGTTTAACATTTGCTTATCTTTGGTGTACAAAAGTTAGTTAACTTTAAAAAAAATGAATTTACACTCTTTATGAGTATCATTTTTATTAGTTATTCATTTTTCGGTGACTTCAGATGACAGTTGTAACATACATCAGATGTAATTCAAGAAAATTTGAGAAAAGAAGATAAAATTTTATCCATTTACAGAATTGTAATCATTTGTCAACAACAACAGACAACAATCAGCATAAATGGAAGGAACCTGAAAGAAACAACCTCTTTTCCTACCGAACTGGGAAGCATCGTTTCAACTACAGGCGGACGGAGCTGACGAGGATATCAACGCAAGAATCGGAAGAGCAAGACAAGCTTTCACTACTCTCAAGTCTGTGTGGAGGTCAACAACACTCAGCATCAAAAATGAGATCTGGATTTTCAACTTCAATGTGAAGTCAGTGCCACTCACTATACGGATCACAGACTTGGCCAGCGCGTCATAAAGAGCAACTCAAACAAACTACAGACATTCATCAACAGTTATCTTCGCTCAATACTCAAGATCAGATGGCCGACCAGAAAAGATCAGCAACAGAGATCTCTGGCAATGAGCGAACCAACACAGCAGGAACCGATTGTGAAACAAATCGGCAGGAAGAAATGGAGATGGATTGGCTGGTCATACTCTGAGGAAACAATGCATCAGGTGACATCACTAGACAAGCCATTGCTCGAGTGGAACCCGACTGAATGGGAAGCGGTGAGTTGGTCGTCAGTGCAAGGGTGACAGAAAAGAGGTCACTCGAAGAGATGAAAGCATGTGGGCAGACATGGAGCCAGGTGAAAACGTTAGCAGAGAACCGAACGCAATGGAGACGCAGGCCTGAAGCCCTATGTTCCTCTAGGAATTAAAGGAAACAATAATAATAATAACCATTTGTGAAGATCTTCATTCATTTGAGCTGTTGCTCATCGGCTTAACTGCTCAACTTCTGACCAGTTGGTTATGGATGCGTATCCTGTTTCACCTACAAAAAGTTTGGGTAGCCAGGTAGTATCATTAGACGTCATACACAATAGGTGTGGTTCATTCCCAACTGCAAGTGAAATTCCATTTTTTAAAATTTTATTTATTTCTATTTGTTCATAAACCTATTTATATTTATTATTACTTTATTATTCCCTTGGGTTCCAAAGTGGAACATAGGGCATCAGCAACATATCTGCATTTCACTTTGTCGTCTTTAATCTATTCCTAGCTGGCTGTAACTTCGGTTTCCTCCTGTCAACCGAGATCTCACGCTTTTTTCGCCATTCAGGTTCCACTTGATGGTCTACTTGCCAGTGTAATGTCACTTTAGTCCATATCCATTTCCTTTTGCATACTTATCGGGCAACACATTCTTGGTTGATTAGTTGCCAGAGTTGATTGTTATTACTCTTGCTTATTATTTGTGATCATCTCTGATCTTCAGTAATGGAGAGAAGGCAGTTGTTAAAGAGTGTGTGTGTGTGTGTGTGCGGTAGCCTATTGGAAGTGCTTTCTGTGAAGCGCCAGCCACGTCTCTCAAGCATATATAGAAATACTGATTTGACACTAGGGTTGAGAACACGAATGTCGTTTGCTATGAGGCAGATTTCTACACTGATTTCTGCACAATAAATGTTTGTCCTGTTTTTACTATTCTAGCTAGCTTTGACATCCTCATCAATGCCGATAGTAAACGAAGCGGCCTACTGTATACTAACTTCAAGATAACTTTTCATATGCTTGAGTCAGATATTTTAAACAATAAAAAATGAGTTTAATTCATTTTGGACTTTCCCGTTGATTTAATTGCACAAGAGGTGGCTCTCGTGGCCCAAGTGGTCTAGTGGATAACGCTCTGACGTTTGAAACTATGGGCACTGGGCTCGAGCCTCGGTGGGAACATCATCACTCACTGAGAAATGCAGGTACATCCAGTGACGAGTCCCAACTAGGACGAAATACACGTTGTCCTGGATTCCACTGCTAGTCACCATCCACCAATTAAATTCCCATTAAATGATTAGACGGAAAGTCCAAACTGAATAAAATAATTACCTATATCCGTTGTAAAAGAGGTGGATCACATGGCTCAAGTGGTCTGGTAAATAACGCTTTGGCCTTTGAAACAATGGGTATTGGATTCAACTCAGTGGGAACATCATCACTCACTGGGGAATGCAGGTACATCCAGCTGATGAGTCCCAAATAGGAAGGAATGCGAGTTATCCTGTATTCCATTGATAGTCACCATCCACCAAATCACTTCAAAATGAAATGAGTTAATTTAAGTTTTAGAGATATGAATCACTGATTGCAGTGTATTACGAATTGATCGGTGCTATAGCGAATGAGACACTAAACGCCGAATAACCGACTGAATGTCAACATTTTTTACTCTCAGAATTGATTATCTTCAGTTCTGTCGTATTGTTTATCAATATTTGATTACCATTGGTACATCAGTGACAAAATATAAATTATAATGTGTCCTCTTCACTGTTGTCAATGTTCCTGTTGCTGATTTATACTTCATGATGAAATCTACTCTGGAATTAAGCTCTTCCAAAAAATAGACAGTAGACAATATCTATAGATTTATTGCATAAAGCCAGAAAGACGAATTTTTGCAGTAAGAAATGATGTTATCTTGTTTCTCAGGTTCTCATCAATTGCAGTCTACCTGAAATTGTTACGGTTATATAATAATGAAAAATAACATACGTCACTGTTGGAATGATATCACTTGCAGTAGCAGGTATATATGAGAAGGACAGAAAAAAATGCTTCTGTTGGGGGTTTTCTGAGCATAGTGCAGGCCATGTCACTAAAAGTCTCCAGTTATTGGTAGTTAGTGTTTTGATGACTCAATTTAGACAGTCTACACCCAGATAGATGGGTCAGACCAACAGTTAGAGTCTTCACAGACTGATACTATGTTTTGATTTGGCAGCCTCTACATCAGTTCACATAAGTGTTCTAAATACACTGATAATGTGAACGTATATGGGATTGGAATTACTAAGAATTTTTGATTGTTCATGATCAGTAAAAAGAAGAGAATTGTAATAAGGTTGAATTTGATAATACTTGTGCGTCGACAGTTCAGCGGTAGAACGCTAGCGAACCACTCACGTGGTCTAGGGTTCGATCCTTAGCCTATGCACTCCTAAATCTCACTAAGCCAGTATAGAGGGAAGGTTGGGCATGAGGCAAGCACCCTCACCCTTTAAGAATAAAATTACTGCTACTGGAAATTCAAAGCTCTACCTGCAAGCCCTATTTTTCACTCGGAACATAAATGAATAGAATAATCAAAAAATAACAAAGATAATAACAATGGTAGTACGTATCCACTAACTGATTAGTTAAGAAATATGATGTGGAATCACTGTGACAGTTAAAATCACTGATTTTGTACTTCTCGTCGACTGATCATTATTTCAGCAAAACATTCGGTCTCTGTTGACACGGTCGCTTCTAAGACGGGGGTTTTGACGATGTTTGATAATAGATAGCTTTTAGATCCGGGAGGCTCATTTTCTCTCTTTTGGAACTCTTTAGCAGGATTTACCTCCACCGACAACACCCAAGGCCACTGGTCCATGAGTGTCACTTGTTATGCAGTAGGCATTAGTTGTTATTGAACCGATATACTCGGTTTTTGTTGAAATACTGGCTCTTAGTACGGAGTCTCCGACAATTTTTGAAGGTTAACATGAAATAATATGATTGGTGTATGCACATTTGGTTGATGAGTGCCTCAGGGACACACCGGTAGAATACTCGCCAACCACGTAAGTGGTTCAGGGTTCGACCCCTGGCAGATGCACCCCTTTACCCTGCTAAGCCTGTAACAAAACTGGTAGAAATGGAAGGTTGGGTGGGCATGAGGCTAGCAGTTACATTGCGTAAAAATAAATACCACTATTACCGAAACTTCAAACCTGTAGCTTGAAGCCCTATGTTACACTAAGAACGTAAAGTAATAAAACGAAAATTTATTAGTTTTTATTTAGTTATTCCATTTACATAACTTTCTTATTTGTATCCTGTACTTATCCTTTAATATAACTAAATCATACTTTAGAATGACTATATAATTAAATAAACGATATAGTTGAGAGTAAATTATTGCTTACTGTCATTGAAGGACCTTATTATTATTATTGTTATTATTACCTTTTATTCAGGCATGGAAATATTTTAAACGTGTAAATGAAACAGCGCAACAGCTACTTTTAAATGACATAATCCAAGGTTGTCCAGATCCGTGTTTTGGAAATCCATGTCGAACAGTTAAAGGTGTAAAAGACAATTTGTGCACAATAACTGGAACTTTTGAGGTATGCATTATGTTATTATTAGTTACTTTAAGGATACATTTAAAGTATCATATATATATATATATATATATATATATGATATTAATACGGGGTCTAACTTAAGAAACGATTCTTGAAAATTAATATGATGCTCGCTTGGACGGCGTTTCCTGGAGTGCCAGTGAGAACTCGTGACCAGTGAGGATGGATTTCCCGCCGATGACATTGGTTGGTGGTCGCGCTAAATAATAACTGGGCCATTGAATTGGGTTATAGTGGCTAAATGGTATACGAGCTTGCCTTGTAACCGGAAGGTCCTAGGTTCGAAACCTGATGGTAGGTGCGTACTGTCGATGAGTCCCAGACTAAGACAGAAAAATCAGCTGTCCAGTACTTAAGTGCTGGTTTTCAATGGATTCTAACTGATTTCAATCCATGGTCTTACTCGAGAAATAAATCAAATCCTTACAAATGAACTCTTGAAAAAAATATACTGAAAATGTTTTCTATAGTTTGGTTTGTAAGGGTTTGCTATGTTTTTACGAGTTGATCACGGATTGATATCAGTTAGAGAACCATTGGAAACCAGGGATTACTGGACAGCTGCTGTTTCATCCTAGTTTTTGGGAGTCATCGGCAGTATACACCCACTGGGATTCGAACCCAGGACCTTCCGGTTACAAAGCAAGCTCGTTCTCTAACTGATATCAATCCGTGATCAACTCGTAAAAATATTGAAAATGAAATATTATAAATTCGTTCTAATGCCGACTGGGCCATTATTGGTTGCATTATGGTAGGATGCTTACCAGCTACTCAGGAGGTTCAGGTTTTATTTCCTGGCTAACACACCTCAAATCTCGCTCAGCTGGTGGTAAGTTTGGAGAAGAGGGAAAGTCGGGTGCAAGACTAACAATCTTATCCTGTACAAACACTGCCAGTGCTACTAAAACTTAATGACTTGAAGGTCTATTTTCCCCCTCAGAAGGCATGGAATGAGAAATATTATTTAAGATGTGAATATCTTAATGCATTTAGAAAAAGGAGACGTTTATGGAGAAACGAAACGCTACTTCTGGGGGAGAAATCGAATCCTTCTATGATTTCAGTGTTTATTTGGACTTCTAGTCCAAATCAGTATTACATCAAAATCGGTCTATGAAAGTCGTGTTAACTTGAATGCTTCTTAAGAAAATCACTAAATAACTGAATTATTAATTAATTATTATTGTTCCCTTGGGTTTTTAGTGGAACATAGGGCTTCAACTACACGTCTCCACTTGCTTCTGTCTTCTGCTGTACTTTTCACCTGCATCCATGTTAGTCCATACTGTTTCAACTCCTCTTCACATGATCTCCTCCATGTCACCCTTGCACTGACGTCCCACTCGCCGCTTCCCTTTCGGGTTCCACTCGAGCACTGGCCTGACGGGCGATGTCACCCAGCGGCCTCCTCAGCGAGTGTCCAATCCATCTCCACTTTCTCCTGCATATTTGTTGAGCGATTGCTTTTTGTTTTGTTTGTTCCCATAGTTTCTTGTTGGTGATTCTTTCCGGCATTCTGATCTTGAGTATAGAACGAAGACAGTTGTTGATAAAGGTCTGCAACAGGCTGTTGAAAATATTCTTTGTGACTCGCCAAGTTTCTGATCCGTAAAGCGAAATTGACTTCACGTTTGTATTGAAAATCCGAATTTTGTTGTTGATGCAGGCTGAGTGACGACGATTTCCAGATTGGTTTCAGGTTGATGAATGTGTTTCTCGCCTTCTCGATTCTCGATTTGACATCCTCGTCCGTTCCTCCTGTAGTTGAGACAATGCTCCCTAGATAAGTGAAAGAAGTAACCTCTTTCAAATCCCTCCCGTTGATGGTGATTGGCGCTGGATGTTGCTGATGCTGTTGTTGTTGTTGTTGGTTGGTTATTTTCATAACCTCCGTCTTGTCTATGTTCACCTGGAGTCCTGTCTTCACTGGCTGCTTCTTCGACCAGTTTGTCGGTTTTCGCTCGTAAGTCTTCGATTTTGTGTGACATCAAACATAAATCATCCACGCGCGAAATCCAGGTCTTCTAGGTTCTTCACGTCGGTCCAGGATATCCCTGTCTTCTCGTTTCCCACTGTCTGACGCATAATCCAGTCGACCACAATTAGGAATATCATTGGTGATAATAAGCACCCTTGTCTGACTCCTGTGTTTACTGCAAACGCCTCGCTGAGTTTTCCGTTGTGGATCACTTGACAAGTGCCGTTGTCGTACAGCTGTTGAATAAGGTTGATGAATATTTGGGGTACGCCGTAGTACTCGAATAGTTTCCAAATTACTTCGCGGTCAACGCTGTCGAAGGCCTTCTCAAAGTCTATAAAGTTGAGGTAGAGATTTGATTGCCATTCCATACTTTGTTCGATGATAATGCGTAGAGTTGCTATTTAATCAGAACATGATTTGCCTTTCCTGAATCCAGCTTGTTCTGGTCGGAGTTCTGTATCCAGTGCGTGCTTTATTCTCTCCAGGATGACGGGACTAAGGATTTTACTTGGCGTCGACAGCAGCATGGTTCCTCGCGAGTTCTTGCAGAGTCCTAGGTCGCCCTTCTTTGGTAGTTTCACTAGGTAACCTTTCCTCCAGTCAGTAGGCACCTTTCCCTCCTTCCAGACTTTTTGAAATAATGGAGTCAGCAAGCAGATTATTAATAATGGCATAATTTCTAAATACTTTAATCTACAAAAGTAGTGGTATCGCGTGTCCAATTTTGTATTTGTAACATTTCTTGGTATGGCTTAAAATCTCTAAAATACACACAGTACATAACAGACACCAAGAGATGCGCGACATAAATTTTTGTCCCATAGTTCGTATTACGACTGGAATATTGCCCAGGAGCTCAGACCGTAGCAGATGGTTGTCTTAAGAGAGCACACCCTGTATCATTGACTTGCAATCTGATACACACGGTAGTGGAGCGAAGTCGTGGGCTGTGTTCCCGTGATTCACAATTACCAAAACAGGTTAATACGTTTTCGATATTTTAGGATTCTGCAGCTCGTATACACAACATGTTTGGACTGGGGGTCTGACATCTCTGCTAGGTAAATCTGAATACCCATCATTCCAGTTGTTTGCGTGAGACGTTAGTCATCGCCCTTACATTTATGTGATGAACACCACTCGCGCTATGCGAAGTCAGTAAATAGCGCTTACCTGAGAGAGGCTATGAACAAGTGTCCACATGAGAACATTTAGAGAGGAAGATTGAAGTTTATCCACCTTTGACCATATCAAGTCGTTTATGCGTGGGGTATATAATAATTATAAATGCATACAGCCCAAATCATAGATATAGAGAGATATTCTTTCGAAATTTTTACCCTTCAGCCTGCTGAAAATGCTTTTTGTGATGCCCCAAGTCTCTGAAGCCTATAGAAGCATTGATTTAACACTAGATTTGAAGATCAGGATCTATTTTTTGAGTGAAATAAAGTGATAGGAAGTTGTCAAATTCACTAGCACAATCTAGTATGTGTTATACACTAGGGAGCTACTGTGACTGATTAGGCCAGGAAAAATAACGCACTCACTTGTGAAATGTTAATTGCTTAGTGCATCTAATAAATGAATTCTTGGTAAGAAGACATGTGGATTTTGTTTTTGATAGTCAATTATGACTGGACGAATAAAATTACGCCTTATACTTAAAAAATTAACGCGTCTGACTAGTGTTAATTTGATTACTTTTAAGGTGAATTTCTTCAAAAACTAATATACTCTGAAGGAACAATTAGAAACCAAGGAGCAGCATATAAATGCTTGTTTATTTTTGAACTCCTCACCAGTTCACATTAATGACTACACTTTGTCTTGAACTGAAGGGCTTTATAGCAAAGAGAATAAAATTTGCAGTATAGTGTACACCTTTTCTATTTAGAAGCTTCCCTTCAACTTAAGTCAGTCTAAAATATGCAAAGGAACATATATTTTTTAATTCTACTAAGCTGAAATAAGACATCGAGATTGTAGTTTAAAGAAACAGGAATGAGTCAAATGTGATGACATAATCGGTTACAAGTAACACGAAAAGCAAGTAGTTATTTAGCATAAGTTTGAAAGAATATTCGAGAAGTTTTGTTCGTTTACTGATGAAAGAGATATCCACGGAAAAAAGCTTTTATAATACCACATAAGCAAGCATTTTAAAGTGACTAAAAATTAATTACTTGAGTAAGGATAATTGGGTAACAAAAAGCCATGGTAGTGTAAAAAGACAAGACCGAGGAGCTGAAAGAATGTTTTTAGGTGAAATGTATGGTACATAGCTAAATTTCGTATACCATATTCTCAACCGGCCATTTGCACATCATTTACCACTCCTGCGAATTGGTCGCATACGTCCATGATAGCTTCTTGATTCTGTATCATATGGCAACATTCTTCTCATGGTTCTCTTCTTTGACTGCTCTTTCTAGTGTGCCAAACATATTGTTACTTCGTTTCTGATATACTACTTATATCGGATTATAAGTAGCACTCACCACAGTAGCAGTAGGGTTAGATCCCTGGCCGACGCACACCTAGTATCAATAGTAGGCCTGCTAAATTTGGACTACCCATATCACACGCTGAAAATTTCATAGTTGTGTAACGACAGAAGACAAGGATCAGGCAACAGATCGTTTATTGAGAAAATCAAGAGTTATTTATAGATTTTTATATGCATTATTATTAGCGTTATTGGTATTACTTAATTGGAGGCAATCGGACGCATGGAGCCTAGGACCTAGGTTTCGTGCTAGTTGGCACTCATCAGCAAGGCGTGTCTGCAACCTTGAAGAAACTCATGTCCCTTCTGAGATTCGAACCCGCGTTACCCAGTGCTTTAGTCAGAGACGTTACACTGAGCTATTCAGGCTCCTGATTGACCTCCTGTAGGACTGTATTGGCTATTTTTGATTGCACACCAGTCAGTAACTAGTGTAATGTGTTTAGTCCTATCTTCGCTGCAGACTGAATTCTATGATTCAAGCTTGACTGATAGAATTCAGTCTGCAGCGAAGATAGGACTAAACACATTACACTAGTTACTGACTAGTGTGCAATCAAAAAATATTAGCGTTATTGTTAGCGGAAAAGCAACCTCTTCTGATTGATTGTTTTCTTGCTGAAGGTTATTCTGTCATCTCTCTGTGGCCGTTTCTCAGAAAATCAAGTCATATATTTGTGAATTATATTTCCACACTTTAACTCCTCTGTGACTGGCTGGTGATTTTCTCAAGGTTAAGCTTTGTTATTGTTTTCTGATTCGGGACATGAACGTTGACGTAAATTGTTGTCTACAGTTTGTGGCTTGCAGCCCGCTCTCATCACAGTTGTAACTAAATACTGTGTGGAATCAAGCTATAATAGAAATAAAAAATAAAAATAAATAAAACAATGAGAGTAGTATAAATAAATAAAAAAAAACCAGAATAGATAATTGCATAATAAGTGCATAAAAACTGTTGCTAGAGTAGACTGAGATTAATCGTTGTTTTTTCCTGTTAGCACGAGTTTTGTTTGAGTTGCTTGATGGCAATAGGTTCAGTAGATCACCGTTAAGTTGTTAATAACGGTAAAAGCAGTTTGAGTGTCAACATCTTGTCCCATTTCGATTGAATGTCGGCCAATGGAGCCGGTAAGGGACTGCAGATCTTTGAGTCACAGACGTTTTCGGATGTGTTCAGAAAAGCAAACGAATCTGCCAACCTTCCTGTCCTTCAGATATACTTGTTCTGATATGCGAATTTTTGGCATGCGATTGACTCCCGCCAAATATAAGATGATGTTATAGGACTGGACTACACTCACTCCTAGCTTAGATATAGGGAGTGAAGTGGTTGATGGAGCTTGTTGACCACTTCACTTATTTGGAAAGTTGCATCAGCCAACACCAGTAGACGTGATATCCAGCTATCGACTAAAGGACGTGTGTACTGCTCATCAGTCCGTCCTCCTTTATGACTGTGAGTGAGACCTGGCCATTGAGGGTGGAAGACATGGAAAGCCTAACTAGCTGTCTTTGATCATAGGTACCTGTGTTCTATCTCCCGTGTGAAGTGGTATAATAAGGTGAGCAATATTCAGGTTAGGCATCGGTCGGGTGCTAGGTAAGGAGGGGAAATCAATTGACGAGGTTGTGAAACTACATGAACTCAGATGGTTAGGACATGTGTTACGCATGCCCAGCCATCGCCTCCCTCGACAATGGGCAATGTTAGCTGACATAGGGTCAGGTTGGAAAAGAGCTAGCGGCGGTCAAACCAAAACATGGCCTAATCAGTCAACGAAATCCACAACAGTTAGTTTAAGCCAGTTACATAGGACGGTCTTCGGGACAGTAAACACCAATGCACACTGTAGACAATTGGTGATATGGCTCAAAATCGTTTTCAATGGCTAGCACAGATGCATCCACACCTTGTGACTTATAATACCCAATAAAACTGTATTGTTCTTTGATATTACTATTCTTTTTGCTTCATATCTCTGTTTACTGTCTCTATTTTGCGTTTCTTTTTACTCTCTTCTTCTTCTCTGGCTTTGTGTGCTGAGTGAAGTGTGGCGACTCGAACTGCTGCACGTCAGTGCAAAAGTCTATGTTGAAACCAGTCAGTCAGTCTAATATACACGTGTACATTTGTAAGCAGAGATGGAGATAACTTCAGATGAGTACCTGTCCATATCCGATTGATAAAGAGACCGACTAGTGTAGTACACAGGAACAAGACTAGCTGTAAGATAAGCAACTCTTAGTCTCTTGTTTATACAGTGTGATACATCATCTTCTTTGAACATAAGCTAGAAAAATACAGGAGCTTTTTCAACTGTAACAATATTTTTTTAACTTTTACTTTACCTCGGCTATCTCCTACGGGAGGATGAGCTGGCTTTATGAACATCTCGAATCATCGCTGCCCAGGCGCGGTGATCTGATGCAAGGTTTTGCGACAGGGTTATCCAATTCTTGTTCCACAGACGGTGTCCGTAGACGGTTTGTAGCCCCAGGCACTCCATATCAGCCTTGACTGTACCAAGCCATGTTTTCAACTGTCCACCCCTGCGACATCGCCAAGATTACCGGGAACGTCGTAGCATGGTGAGAGTCGTTTGTAAGATAGTTCATGAAGTTTCATGGGAATTTGGTACTAGTGATGTCCCCAGAATCGCTCGGCCTTTTGTTTGAGAGTGCAGCTCTAGCCTTTACACAACCAAGTGTGACCTACAAGGCAGTAGGAGTGGAGTAGGGAGTCCACTATCCATTGGCAGCCGGTGACCGGGGTTCGGTTCATACGCCTTTTTGAATGGGGCCAGACATCCAGGACATCCAACAAGCCCTTTGTCCATACGTCTGCCGGTGAGCTCCAGTGAGCTTCATACGCCAGTCGCTGGAGGTTTGGAATCAGGGTTTAGCCACCTCCCCTAGACTGTCATCCAATGGACAGTCAACCCGGTGAAGAGCGCCGGGCATCCGCTTTCGCCCTCTCACTTTGGTGAAAAACACCTCCGCCACGTGAAGGCAGTGATGAGTAGGACTTCCTCAGGAGAGGCTATGTAAGACGCCCGGTCATATGGGAGCATTTCAAGAGGTGTGCGGAGGAGTGGCCAACCCGCAGCGCAAGGCACCCACTCCCGACTATCCTGAGGCTTTGGAGGCCTGTAACAATATTCTTTTACATGAATGCAATTTTTTTTCAAACCATCTTAAATAATTTTCTTTTATAGAATGATTATAAATGTAACTGCCTTGATGATATGTTATGGGATGAAAATTTACTAATATGTCAACCAGTCAATCCATGTGATAGTAAAGTTTATAAGGCATGTATTCCTGAAAATACACTACAATGTATTGCCTTTGATATTTCAACATATCAATGTATCTGTAAATCTGAATATATGGGTGTTGATTGTTCTTTACCACGAGATGCATGTTTTGAACGAGTTGATAAAGTAGGTGAATTTATATTTGATTTTTTTAAACTTCTTTTCTTCGTTTTTTCTCATTAAATTACTTTCCTATTTATACTATTAATTTAATAATTCCCATTATAGCATTCAGAACACAATATTCAGTGAACAGACTTTTCAACGAATTTATAATGAAGCTGTACAATCACATATAAATGGTGAGGGAAAGAAACCTAATTCATTCGCTCTGCTTTAGGATACAAAAACATTTATAGTTCTGATTGCGTTGACTTATAACTTGACTTCCTAACAGCCACGCTCACAGAAAATGGTTACCCAAACCGATTTATTGACAGCAACACGAAAGATAAGCAGTCTAAACTGGTCACCGACTCAGTTCCAAACAAAGCCTTATTCATGAACTTGGAATTCGAAGGTAATCAAGCTTCAGATATGCTCGAAAATCGTCTCTCTAAATCAGTCAGTAAGATGTTCTTTGCAGCAAAATTACAAATGACGTTCACCAGCTGCAAGTTGTTCTCAATCTCCGTAAAAAATAAGCTCCTATGTCTGGCCGCCTCCATCTTCATCTAACAGTTCACCTACTCTTGTGGAACAAGGTACATTCGCCGTAGCCAGAGAACGCTTTCCACACGGATACGAGAACATATTCAAGCATGGTTCTACAGGGGAGAAAGGAAGAGTGTGCAAAGCTCTATTCCAGAACAACTGATCGACTTTTGTCACTCTACCAACTCTGAACAAGATTTTTAGATCATCTACCGAATCCAAGCTAACTCGCCGCGTTTTCTACATTACAGACTTCTAAAGACAGCGGAGGCCTTGGCTGGCGGGCTGGAATCAACATAGAACTTGGCACCGAAGTGCAGCAGTTCCAGTTGCCACGTTCCAAATAGCACACAAAGGTAGACAAGAAAATGAGTAGAAGGAATCAATAGAGTTTTGACAAGTATAACAGTGAACCACAGAATGAGTAATGGTAGAAAGGAATATGAAAGATTACAGAGACTGAATACATCTGCGTAGGCCATTGACAACGGTTTTGAGCCATGTCACCTATTGTCTCCAGCCATTGATTCTTAGAGTCCCGAGGGCCCCAACCAGTCAGGAAGTCTGCATCTCCCTACCTGACTCAGTTTAACTGTCAAGGATTTCATGCATTGATGCCATGTTTTTGTTTGGCCACCACTTTTTTCCAACCCACAACACCTATATCAGCTAGTAATGCCCGTCCGTCGGGGGAGACGATAGTTAGTTAGGCATGCGCAGCACGTCACCTAGCCATCTCAATCTATGTAACTTTATAGCCTCTTCGATTGATTTTCCCTCTTTGCCCAACACGCTACGCCTAACGTCGACATTACTTACCTTATTATACCACCTAACGTGAGAAAGAGATCGTAAACATCTATGATCATAAACAGACAACCTTTTCATGTCTTCAACTCGTATTGGCTATGTTTCAGAGCCATAGAGAAGGACGGAGCGAACTGCTGAGCAGTACACACGTCCTTTGGTTGATAGCCGGATGTCACGCCTACACCAGAGATGGTGTAAGTTAGCGAAAGCAGCTCGAGCTTTTTGGACCCGTGCTGAGATTTCGTCACCAATCAATCCGTTGTTGCTGATACAACTTCCCAAATAGGTGAAGTGGTCAACATGTTCTATCACTTCACTCCCTATCACTAAGCTAGGGGTAGACGTAGTCCAGTCCTGTAGCAGCATGTTACATTTTACAGGGGCGAATCGCATGCCAAACATACGAAGATTGGTGCTCAAGGTGTTCAGAAGACTCTGCATTTTGTCAGCGTCCTCCCCTAACAGGACTATGTCATCTGCATATTCTAAGTCCGAAAGACTATTCCCTGGTAACAGGTCGATTCCTGATTCATGAATTTTAGCCAGCCAGACCTCTGTGTACAAAAGAAGTATGTACAATCACTACTTCTGCCTTGGCCGTAGAGGGATAGTTATTTATTTATTTTGTATATTTAGTTATTCTACGTACCTTTCCTTTATTACTATGATTATTATTATTATTAATGTTTTCACTCTGAATTGTTTCCACTTGTCCACTTGTCATTCTAAATCCAGAAATTGCTTACAATATTGAATTCCGTTTTATCAAATTTCACACCATGTTATGTAGCGTTTTTATATTAGCCTACTAATCCTATAATTATACATCCCTTTCCAACATCTATACACCTTATATATTATTCTACATATGACATTGATTGTTTTGCTACTTGACATTTAACTATGATTATAATCACGAATATTTTAATTGAATTTCATACTACTATTATTATTATTTCATTTATTCACACCTTTGATCTAATTCCCTTACCGGATATAATTTCTTAAGTAAAACCATCCATATACGATTGTACAGCTTGATAATAAATTCGTTGTTGAAAAGAGTCTCTTCGCTGAATATCTTGTGTTCTTAAATTCTATCAAGATAATAATGACAAATTTTGTAGGATAAGATGGATTCATTTCATTTTATAAGATTTTTGTTAGCTGCATGCAACGAGAATGATAAATAATTTTTAAATAAGCAATGAGTGTGCCTGCTGCACTCCTTAGTAAGTGATAGTTTTCCCACAGAGACTCAGACCGAGTACCCATCGTTTCATATGCCAAGGCGTTATCCACTAAACCACTTGGATTATTATTATTATATTATTGTTCCCTTGGGTTCCTAGTGGAACATAGGGCTTCAACTGCACGTCTCCACTTGCTTCTGTCTTCTGCTGTACTTTTCACCTGCATCCATGTTAATCCATACTGTTTCAACTCCTCTTCACACGATCTCCTCCATGTCACCCTTGGACGTCCCACTCGCCGCTTCCCTTTCAGGTTCCACTCGAGCAATGGCCTGACGCGCGATGTCACCGAGCGGCCTCCTCAGCGAGTGTCCAATCCATCTCCACTTTCTCCTGCATATTTGTTGAGCGATTGGTTCTTGTTTTGTTTGTTCCCATAGTTTCTTGTTGGTGATTCTTTCCGGCGGCATCTGATCTTGAGTATAGAACAAAGACAGTTGTTGATAAAGGTCTGCAACAGGCTGTTGGAAATATTCTTTGTGACCCGCCAAGTTTCTGATCCATCCGTATAGAAGAACTGACTGACTTGACATTTGTATTGAAAATCCGAATTTTGTTGTTGATGCAGGCTGAGTGATGAAGATTTCCAGATTGGTTTCAGGTTGATGAATGTGTTTCTCGCCTTTGTGATTCTCGATTTGACATCTTCGTCCGTTCCTTCTGTAGTTGAGACAATGCTCCCTAGATAAGTGAGTGAATGAAGTAACCTCTTTCAAATCCCTCCCATTGATGGTGATTGGCGCTGGATGTTGCTGCTGTTGTTGTTGTTGGTTGGTTATTTTCATAACCTTCGTCTTGTCTATGTTCACCTGGAGTCCTGTCTTTGCTGCCAGCCTCTTCGACCAGTTTGTCGGTTTTCGCTTGTAAGTCTTCGATTTTGTGTGACATCAAACATAAATAGAATTTTTAATATATTTGTGCGTTGAAGTTTTTGTAGCAATTTGGTTAAGTTTTGGTGGTGGAGTTGCTAGCACCACGCCCCAACCCTCCCTCGTTATCCGGGCTAGGGACCGGCTAGAAAACTAGTGAGCTAGTAATCTAGGCGAGATTGCAGAACACTCTACATTACATTTACTCAGTTTTACTTATTCACGTTCTTGAAGAACAATCTACACTCACATGAATTTGCTAATGGCTTTCAATACTCTGCTTAGTCTGTTTTCAAGGGACAGATATGTCAAGAGTCAAAGCAGGTTGCAGATAGGACAGAATTTTGTCTACTGACATACTGTTGATTAATGTTTTACTTGGAGATTCTATATAAGCAGTAGATAAAGTCGTCATACTGTAAAAATTCTGTACCGTAATATAAACATCTTGTTCAAAATGAAGTGCATCGATGGCACAGCGGTTAGGACTCTCGCCGACCATGAACATGGTCCGAGGTTCGATCCCCTGCCGACGCACACCTGATATCTATGGTCGGCCTGCAAAATTTGGGCTACCGATATCACATGCTGAAAATTCCATACCTGTACCAAAAATACTGTGTGGAATCAAGCTGTAATCAACAAAAAAGTCACCATTATCATCATCATCATTAATTTCTGATTTTCATTTACTTTCTATAGTCTCAACCTAATGGTGATACTAACTGTCAAATTCAATTGGGTAATATTTGTCAACCTATACTTGGAACAGATTATTATACATGTAAATGCTTGGCTGGCTATCAACCATTATTGCATATATCTGAGCCTAATTGTCTTGGACGAACTGATCCATGCTTAACTATACAACTTACAGATTTATTAACACAGACAAGTGTAACTAATGACAGTGAAGTAATAAAACAACTGGATCACAATGAAAATAAACCTTTAAATCCTGATATTGTTATTCAATGGGGTTTAACATGTTTAAATGGTGGTCAGTGTGTTGCTTCAGCTGATTTTACACGTGCATCATGTGTTTGTCCAACAGCTGCAGATGGTTCATTACTTTATACTGGTTAGTTTACTTGTCTTATTTATTGATTTTTTTTTAAAAATATTCTCAAAAGATTTGTTACTGAATAAAGAATATTCTTCCAGATAACTTCATCATCACCCTCTTTAGTAATATATATATATATATATATATATATATATTATTATTATTGTATCCTTTAATTCCTAGAGGAACATAGGGCTTCAGCCGTGCGTCTCCATTGCCTTCGCTTTTCTGCTAGAGTCTTCACCTGGCTCTAAGTCTCCCCCCACACGTTTTCATCTCCTCTTCACACGACCTCCTCCAAGTCACCCTCACCCTTGCACTGACGACCAACTCGCCGCTTCCCATTCAGTCGGGTTCCACTCGAGCAATGGCTTTTCTAGTGATGTCACTTGATGGTTTCCTCAGAGTATGACGCCAATCCATCTCAATTACTTCCTGCCTATTTGTTTCACAATCGGTTCCTGCTGTGTTGGTTCGCTCATTGCCAGAGATCTCTGTTGCTGATGTTTTCTGGCTGGCCATCTGATCTTGAGTATTGAGCGAAGACAACTGTTAATGAAGTTCTGTAGTGTTATGAACAACATTAATGTTGTTTAAATAACATTGAATCAATGATATCAATAAATTACAGTTCAATAGCATCAACATAACAATAAACCGAATATCAGAAAAATTAGAAAAGATAATAATACAAATTCATGAATTTATGATCTCCAGTGAAGACCAGGGCAGTAGTATTGGCACCGGTTATTTTACGCGAATCGTGACAGTCTCTAGTGTTTGAAGTATGCGGTACCTGGATGTTTTGGTAATTTATTTGGCACCCGATAGATGATAGAGAAGGATTCTTCAATGCTGGGTTTGTGGCCGGTCTGTACCAGATGGTCTAATATCGAACTGTTGATGATTTTTACTACACCTTTACTTAGTCATACTTGGAGATGTTCTCAAGCGAGCACGAAAAATCAAGTTCCTACAGCAGCAGCCGATATAACTTGCTCCACAAGCGCAGTTGAATTGGTAGACACAACTAGAAGTGGCTAGTCTAGGTAATTCATCTTTCAGTCTAGGAATCACCATCGGTCGTGTAGAGAGTGTTGCCTTCTTAGTGGAATATAGGACTTTAAGCTTCAGGTTTGAAGTCTCAGTAGCAATGGTGTTTCTTTCTTTTATCAGGTGAGGTTTCTAGCCTTACAACCAGCCTTCCATCTATACTTGGCTTACTGATGGTCAAGTGAGGTTTAGGAGTGCGTCAACTGGGAATGGAACCCTGGACCATATGAGTCAGTAGCAAGCATTGTTCCACCGAGCCATCGACTCACCGTTCATTTTATTGAGCATACACAATAAGGTATTCTAATTTTTTGGGTAAATTTTCATTTTCTCGAAGTCAACATGATGCTGATCCTTGAGTAACATTTTAGTTATTATTTTTTTGACCTATTACATCACAAATATGCAAAATGAAATGCAGATGTATTGAATATATGCTATGGAGACATTGAAGTGACATCATACGCCAGACCGTCAAGTGTAACTCGAATTGGAAACGACTATTTAAGTGTCTGAGGGTGATATGATAGAGGTCATTTAAAGAGGAAACTAAAGTTTAATGCCAGTCGTGAAGCCAGATGAAAGTGACACTGGGGAAGTTGAAAAATTATTCAATCCAAGAAAGTATGCCTATAATGGAATGTCTTTGAAAAAACCAAAATAATTAAATAGTATTATTATCTGATTACTTCTCTAACAATAATAACAGAATATATACTATCAGGGTATGTTTTTATTTTTAATGAAATGCAGTTTTAGTTAATCTTATGTATACAAGATTCAGGGCCTGAGATTATCACTACTCAAGTATTTAAAATCCTGTTACATACGTCGATCCAATCAAAATAAGCACAGTTAAGCCAATAATAATAAAAGTGCAATAAAAAATATTGACTAGAGCGTTAGTAAGAACTCTTTGGCTCCACAAAACTCAACGTTAAGAAATATGTCTACCTGAATTTCAGAAATTGGTTAATTATTCCACGAATCATTATGATTGGAAGAATCTCGCAGCATTCACTCGAAATAATGTCTAGTCATCGCCTTCCTCGACGGGCAATGTTAGCTGATATAGGCCAGCTGAAAGCTGCGGCTAACGAAAACTGAACCAGTCAATGAAATCCACAACAGTTAGCTTAAGCCACATAGGAAGATGTAGACTTCCTGGTTGGGGTCCTCGGGACAGTAAAAACCAATGGTTGGAAACAATTGGTGACATGGCTCAAAATCGTTCTCAATGGCTGGCGTAGATGCATCCACTCCTTGTCTTATGATTTCCAATGAAACTGTTTTGTTCTCCGTTATTACTATTCCTTTGTCTCACACCTCTGTTTACTGTCTCTCTATTATGCATTTCTTCTACTTTCTTCTCTTGCTTTGTGTGCTACAAGGAGGGAGTGTGGCGACTTGAACTTCCGCACATATGTGCAAAGTTCTATGTCGAAAACCAACCGACCGAATGTCTTGTTAATTTTCAAGAGTTGTTTCATATTTGATCACGGATGGATATCATTTAGAGAAGCATTGAAAACCAGGGAGTACTAGGCAGCTGTTTCCTTTTAGTATGATGCTCTTCAGTATTACGCAAGTAGGATCTTCAGGTCAAGCAGTAAGCTCGTTGACCGTTCAGCCACCGAGATGGAATCCAGTGGTCTGGGTTCGATCCCTAGTGGAATCATGGATGCGTACTGATGAGGAGTCTCAAGCTGGGACGAAACAGATGCTTAGTACTCCCTGGTTTCCAACGCTTCTCTATTATTATTATTATTGTAATTATTATTATTGTTTCCTTTAATTCCTAGAGAAACATAGGGCTTCAGCCGTGCATCTCCATTGCCTTCGCTTCTCTGCTAGAGTTTTCACCTGGCTCCATGTCTGCCCACACGTTTTTATTTCCTCTTCACATGACCTCCTCCAATTCACCCTTGCACTAACGACCAACTCACCGCTTCCCATTCAGTCGGGTTCCACTCGAGCAATGACTTGTCTAGTTATTTCACTTGATGGTTTCCTCAGAGTATGACCAGCCAATCCATCTCCATTTCTTCCTGCCTATTTGTTGCACAATCAGTTTCTGGTTGGTTCGCTCATTGCCAGAGATCTCTGTTGCTGATCTTTTCTGACAGGCCATCTGATCTTGAGTGGTATTGAGCGAAGACAACTGTTAATGAAGGTCTGTGGTTTGTTTGAGATGCTCTTTATGACGTGCTGGCCAAGTCTCTGATCCGTATGGCAAGTAGCACTGACTTCACATTGGAGTTGAAAATCTGGATCTTACTTTTGATGCTGTGTTGTTGACCTCGACGCAGACTTGAGAGTAATGAAAGCTTGTCTTGCTTTTCCGATTCTTGCTTTGATATCCTCGTCAGTTCCGTCGGCCTGTAGTTGAAACGATGCTTCCCAGTTCGGTAGGAAAAGAGGTTGTTTCTTTCAGGTTCCTCCCATTTATGCTGATTGTTGTGTGTTGTTGTTGTTCTTGTCCAGGAATCTTCATCACCTCTGTTTTCTCTATGTTCATCTGAAGTCTCTCCTATCTTTGATGCTTCTTCTGCCAACTTGTTGCTTTTCACTTGCATATCTACCAGTTTGTGGGAAATCAGACAGATGCAGATGTATGCACATATGATCCAGTTAACTTGAGTGAACAGTTCACTGATAACATTGTAAATTAGTTAATCTTGATAGAGATAATCTTTTATTCATATTTTGTCAAAATGTTAAGAAAATCAATGACATTTTTATCAAGTTTCGACAATAAATAAACCAAATAATGAAGTGCACTGGAAGTAAGTTTAAGAGTTTTACAACTGTAATAATTGAGGTTAGTACATAACTGATGGATTACTTGGTGAAACAAAATCTGTTGCCAAGTTGCCGTCAAACCATATATTATAATTATTTCCTTAGGTTCGGAGTGGAACACAGGGCTTCAGCATCTTATCTTCCTTTCATCCTGTCTTCGGCAGCCATCTTTAGCTAGCTCCATGACTACTTATAAAGAATTATCTCTTTAATTGCATGGAGGATTTCATCATGAGCTGACATCAGTTAGAGAACCACTGGAAAACCTTGGAGTACTGGAAAGCTGTTTCGTCCTAGTTTGGGACTCTTCATCAGTGCGCGCCCACCGGGATTCGAACCCAGGACCTTCTGGTTACAAGGCGAGCTCGTATACCATTGAGCCACTGGGACCCGATCCAATTATTATCTCTTTTTCACATAAACTCCTGCATATCACCCTTGAACCAACATTTAACTCTTTTTTCCCATTTGAGTTCCACTTGAGTTCCTGGCGCGAGATGTCTTCCAACAATCTCCTCAGAGTGTGCCCAGTCCATCTGCATTTTCTTCAACGTATTTGTTGTGAAATAGGCTCTTGGTTGGTTTGCTGCCAAAATTCTTTGTTGCTTATCCTTTCTGAACATTTAGTCTTCAATAGAGAGCGAAGGTAAATACTGATAAAAGTCTAAAGTCTGTTAGAAATGCACCATAGCCGTAGTATAGACCACACATTCTCTTCCAAATAAACTAATGTACCTCCTGTTATTACTTCCAGTAGAGTTGCAGCAGTCAACAGAGAAAAAGGCTATAGTGAAGTTAAACAAAGATTTAAAAAATCATTGGAAAACAACAGGAAGCGAACACTGAGAAATCCTAATACCTTTAGAAGCTTGTCAAAAAGATATTAAATATTAGATTGGACATTGGAATCTAATGTTTACTTTGTCCACTGTTGGAATCTGTCTACAATGAATGAGATATATTAAAATTTAGATATATGAGATCCTTTTTTAATAAGTCACTTTTCAATACATATGAGTTGCCTCCTCACCTTTAAATCTTAACTTTATGGATGAAGTCTTCCTAGAAGTGGACTTCATTAATTATTTGTTAGTTGGTTATGGAAATTTATCAACAAGTCAACTAATTTAGCCTACAGTAGCAAGCTTTCTTCCGTTTAAGAATTTGATACACCTTTAGATGAAATCTGTGCTGAAGTTATTTTATTAAAGAAGAGATGGTGCTGCTGCTGGATTCTCAATAGAACTTGGCACCGAAGTGCAGCAGTTCCAGTTGCCACGTTCCAAATAGCACACAAAGGTAGACAAGACAAGAAGATGAGTGAAGAGAATCAATAGAGTTTTGACAAGTATAAGAGTGAAACAGAATGAGTAATGGTAGAAAGGAATATGAAAGATTACAGAGACTGAATACATCTGCGTAAGCCATTGACAACGATTTTCAGCCATGTCACCTATTGTCTCCAGACATTGATTCTTAGAGTCCCGAGGGCGGGCCCAAACCCGGAAGTCTGCATCTCCCTACCTGACTCAGTTTAACTGTCAAGGATTTCATGGATTGATGAGGCCATGTTTTTGTTTGGCTACCACTTACTCTTTTCCAACCTGCACCTATATCAGCTAGTAATGCCCGTCGTGGGAGGCGATGGTTAGGCATGCGCAGCACGTGGCCTAACCATCTCAATCTATGTAACTTCATAGCCTCTTCGATTGATTTTCCCTCTTTGCCCAACACTCTACGCCTAACGTCAACATTACTTACCTTATTATACCACCTAAAGTGAGAAAGAGATCGTAAACATCTGTGGTCAAAAACAGACAACCTTTTCATGTCTTCAACTCGTATTGGCCATGTTTCAGAGCCATAGAGAAGGACGGAGCGAACTGCTGAGCAGTACACACGTCCCTTGGTTGATAGTCGGATGTCACACCTACGCCAGAGATGGTGTGGGTTAGCGAAAGCAGCTCGAGCCTTTTGGATCCATGCTGAGATTTCGTCGCCAATCAATCCGTTGGTGCTGATACAATTTCCCAAATAGGTGAAGTGGTCAACATGTTCTATCACTTCACTCCCTATCACTAAGCTAGGAGTTGGCATAGTCCAGTCCTGTAGCAGCATCTTACATTTTACAGAGGCGAATCGCATGCCAAACATACGAAGATTGGTGCTCAAGGTGTTCAGAAGACTCTGCATTAAGAAAAGATAGAGAAGAATGACAAAAGTGGTTTTATTTTCCAACAGTAGACATCTGAGTATTTAAAAATCAACACAATAGACTTCATGTTTTTATTGACGAACCTATGGATCAAGGTAGAAGCTGAAAGTATATAACATAAACCAGGATTTTAGTGACATGATTTATATCATCAGTCTATCAGTAGCTGGTGGGAAGTTCAATCAACGAAGTTACTGTATAAAGTTTCAATTCTGCTACAGTCAATAAAGACAGGTTCCCTGTAGTTATCAATCCAATAAAGGATGATTACATGACCACTGGTATTCGCTGATATTATCTAACCGTTCTTATACTAGAGAATTATTACTATTAATTCCTTCACGTTCCCAGTGGAACATAGGGCTTCAAACTAGAATACTTTGAAGTTTCAGTAGCAATGGTGATTGTTTTTACAGGATGGGGTTGCTAGCCTCATATTCACCCAACCTTCCCTCTTTACCAGTTTTATTACTGGCTTAGCGAGGTAAAGGAGTACGTTGGCCGGGGTTCGAACTCCGGACCATGTGCATGGGTGGCAAGCGTCCTAACCGCTGTGCCACCGACGCACATGCTAGAAAATTATTTCATACATTTAGTTCCCTTCATAAATTTCAATTAAGAAGGAAAGACAAGATTTTCAGTATGAAATGATATCATCATTCTATTTCACAGGTTCTCATCAGCTGCAGACCACTACCTGGAATAACAATGGTTATAAAAATGAATGATAATAACATACAATCTTGAGAGTGAGCTGCAAGCCACCAACTGTAGACAACAATTTACGTCAATGTTTACGTCCCGAATCAGGGTCATGAGAAACAAACAATAACAAAGCTTAACCTTGAGGAGGTCACCAGCCAGTCACAACGGCGTTAAAGTGTGGAAATATGATTCACAGATATATGACTTGATTTTCTGAGAAACGGCCACAGAGAGATAACAGAATAAATTTCAGCAAGAAAACAGGCAGTCAGAAGAGGTTGCTTTTCCGCTAACAATAACGCTAATAATAATGCACATAAAAATCTATAAATACCTTTTGACTTTCTCAATAAACTGTCTGTTGTCTGGCTCTTGTCTTCTGTCGTTACATTTGGTGTCGCTGCCTGCCAACAGATGGAAAGCATATGCCCTACAATTTTTGATGGAGACATATGGATCTTCTGGCAGGACTTCGAGGCTGCTGCACAGCTGAGTGGCGTTCAAGGTCCGTCAGCGATGGGGCTGTTCCTTGGAACGCCGCTGGGAGGTCAGGCGAAGGCAACATATGAAAGTGTGAGGCGAAACACCCACATATGAGCGCCAGGGTCATACAAACTGCTTCCAAAGTGGAAAGGACCACACATGGTCACTGTGAGAGGGAGTCACGTATATACGATTGCAAAAATCTATAAATACCTTTTGATTTTCTCAATGAACGACCTGTTGCCTGGTCTATGTCTTCTGTAATTACACTATAACCTTCTTGAGTTGCTATGTAAACCTACATACTAACAATGTTTATTAGATTTTTCTGTTTTCTATCTTCTACCCCTTCCTTCCACTTCCTTTTCTATTTTGAAAGCATATAAATTGACGGTAATTTAAACCCATAAAATTTTAATGCTTATATTTCACATGCGTTGATTTTATAATATTTTCTTTACTACTATTCAAGCATTGTTTTGTTTATTTATTTATTTATTTTGGTTACAGCTTGATTCCACACCGTATTTTCAGTACAAGTATGGAATTTTCAGCATGGATATCGGTAGCCCAAATTTTACAGGCCGACCATAGATATTGGGTGTGCGTCGGCGGGGGATCGAACCTCGGACCATGTGCATGGTCGGCGAGAGTCCTAACCACTGTGCCTCTGACGCATAATTTCAGGTGGTTTGCAGATGATGAGAACCTGTGAAATAGAGTGATGATATCATTTTACGCTTCAATCTGGTCTTTATTTCTTTAAAGAAAATTTTAGAAGACTGACTTCTTTTGTATCAGTTTGATAAACTGAGGTAATTCAGCACACTTTGTACAGTTATTCCCCCATTACTAATTTGAATAAAATAGAAATAATAGATTGTACTGAAATAGATGGTGCCATCGTCTATTTCATCCAACTCTCATCAGCTCCATACAGTCTGAAGAAATTAGTGAATTTATATGCAGAACAAATTTAACATACATGTAAATATTACATGGCGTCAGTTGACAGGAGACTATAAACTTTGTAACATTGCCAGGCACCTAGTCGACATAGATCATGAGGTGGACACTATGAAAGCCTTTAGAATTGTCAGTTTACTTCTCCTCAGTTTCACCGAAACAAATGCTCTCAAATGTCTTAAGCCCGATGTATGTATTCAGGGAGAAGCAGTTGTCAGTCTTTCTTAGCTCTGGTAACTGGATGTCATCATTCTCCATTTCATTTGTTTACGTAATCTTTGTTTCTAGCTTCTACCCCTTCTTTGTAAAGTTAATTAGCTTATCTCTTGTTTCTATACCTTGAATTGGACTCATCACATTGTTACTTACCTTATTTAGTTTCTCATCATCATATTTATCTTTTGTTTTTATTACACAACTCCTTTGCCAGTGTTTAAACTTGAACTTTTTGTGTACAACCTATATAAATGTAATTCAAATTTGGAGTCTCCTATCAACTGAAACCATGTAACATTTGCAAGTATGTTGAAGTTATTCTATGCATAAGCTCAATAATTTCTTTAGGCTGTACTCAGATGATGAGAAGTCCACGAAATAAATGATGGCACCACCTCATTGTACACACACTATTGTTTTTGCCTTATTTAACATAATTTAGTTGACAATCTATTTGAGTTTTGAAAATGTATATATATGATTTATTGCCTTGAATTACTTTTATTTAACTATTAGGTCTAAACTGTGAATATCCAGTAGGGATTTGGTCAACATGGACATTGCCTTCACCATGTTTTCCAGAAGATTGTGGTGTAACACGTTACCGTTGGAGAAGAAGATATTGTTTAAATGGTACTACTTCAGAAGATTTACTCGCTCATATGACTGAGTCGTCACCATCATCTACTGAATTAAATGGATGGACATATTCACATCGAAGAATGCCACTTGCATGTCCAGGAACCTCAGAAGAAGTAAGTTATTTATTAGCTAGGGCTTTCTTTGAGAAAAAAGTAAAATGTAATCAGCATTATTCTAAGGTCAAAAATTGGCGTTTAAGTTTTTATGATAGAATGGTGTAATGATGATCTAACGTTGTTATTTGGTGGATGGTGAGTATCAGTGGAATCCAGGATGCGGAATTAATCCTTTTTTGAGACTCGTTAGCTGGGTATATCTACAATCCTCATTGAGTGATGGTGTTCCTAGATAGACTCAAACCCGGTAACCGTCGCTTCAGATGCCAGAGTATTATGCACTAGATCATTTGGGCGACTAGAGCCGCGTCGTTTGCAATGGATATCAGTTATTTTCTATTGTCAATGCTAACAGAGACCCAACATTTTCGGCTGTCCTCCTTTATGGCTGTGAGACATGGCCATTGAGAGTGGAAGACATGAAAAGGCCGGTTAGCTGTCTTTGATCATAGGTGTCTGCGTTCTATCTCCCGTGTAAAATCGTATAATAAGGTGAGCAATACTGAGGTTAGGCGTCGAGTGCTAGTTAAGGAGGGGAAATCAATCGACGAGACTGTGAAATTACATCGACTGAGATGGTTAGGACATGTGTTACGTATGCCTAGTCATCGCCTTCCTCGACGGGCAATGTTAGCTGATATAGGGTCAGGCTGGAAAAGAGCTAGCGGAGGTCAGACCCAAACATGGCACCAGTCAATGAAATCCACAACAGTTAGTCTAAGCCACGTAGGAGGGTGTAGACTTCCTGGTTGGGGTCCTCGGGACAGTAAAACCAATGGTTGGAAACAATTGGTTGCATGGCTCAAAATCGTTCTCAGTGGCGCAGATGCATCCACTCCTTGTGACTTATGATTTCCAATGAAACTGTTTTGTTCTCCATTATTACTATTCCTTTGTCTCACACCTCTGTTTACTGTCTATATTATGCATTTCTTCTACTTTCTTCTCTTGCTTTGCTACAAGGAGGGAGTGTGGCGACTTGAACTGCCGCACATATGTGCAAAGTTCTATGTCGAAAACAGACAACAGACAGACTAATATAATCAGTTGACGGTAAATACAAAAATCTAATTAAATAAAGATCTGTTTTTGTGTTGATATACATGTATTTCTTATTTTGGTGTTACCCTAAATTTAGTTATTGGTCCTTTGACACTAAGTTCACGCCTGGAATTTTAGTGAGAAGTAGTGATCAGTGGGTTCTACCAGGTAGGTGTGTGGACAAACACTCACTGATGACATTCGCTGGTGGTCGTGCTATTCATCACGAATAGACAGAAGTTAGAATTGATAGGCCATTGGATTTTGGCCTTCAGTGGCTGAACTGTCAACGAGATTGCCTTGTAACCTAACGGTCCTGGATTCGATTCTAGGTAGAGTCGATGGTGCGTACTGCTAAGGAGTCCCAAACTAGGACGAAGTAGTTGTCCAACACTACCTGATTTTCAATGGTTACATAACTAAAGTCAAGTAGTGATTGAAACTGAAAATGAATTCATCAGAAATAACCTCTTCCGTGAACTATTTGTTTTACATTTTCATTAGCTTTGGTAATGGTAACATCCACTGAATCTAATATCATAAATGACAAACAGTCTTCATTCCCTATATTTGGTGAAGTTTGTCGGTAGTAACTCATTCTGTTATACGATTATCCTTTTGAAATGCAACAAAATTAAATACGGATCCCCCAGGAAAACTTCAACTTTAAGATAGAATCCCTACAAACCTAAGAAATTGTTTACTTCAGATGTTTGACTTTCTTCAACATACTTCCATCATTTATTTCAAAATCTCAGCAGCATTAACTAACAACTGGTCAAAGTAGAATTTGTCAAAAAACACTCAAATGTCACCTTAACTGTTTGGTGTTTTTAACAAAATTCTTAACTGGGAATAGCATTAAGGGATTATTTTTAAGAAAGCTTAATATGACTTTTAGCGTTTTGAATAAATTCCGCTTCCTTTTTTAATTTACGCTAAGTCATAAAAATCTTATTGGATTGATATAAAAAAACTTTAGAATAAATTTAAACAAATATTTTTAGTGTATTCATTCATTCAATTGAATTTTAGATTTTTCCCGTCGATTGATTGGACCGAAGTGCTCGGTCTCAGGTTGACATGTCGGCTTCTTGAGCAGATGCTTCAACGGTGTCTGGGCATTTAATTAGTATTTAATTGGTGGATGGTGACTAGCAGTGGAATCCAGGACGCGCATTTCGTCCTATTTGGGACTCGTCCTCTGGATGTACCTGCATTTCTCAGTGAGTGATGATGTTCCCACCGAGGCTCGAACCCAGTGCCCATAGTTTCCAACGCCAAAGCGTTATCTACTAGACCACTTGGGCCACGAGAGCCACCTCTTGTGCAACGGGTCACTGGGTTTGAGCCTCGGTGGGAACATTATCACTCACTGAGAAATGCAGGTACATCCAGATGACGAGTCCCAAATAGGTCGAAATGTGCATCCTGGATTCCACTGCTAGTCACCATCCACCAATTAAATTCATTCATTCAGAATGAAAATTTTAATTCTTTTGAATTCCAATTGGAACATATTACTGCAAAGTTTACAGTGTAAAAACAGAAGGCAAGAGACGGAAACCAAGGTATATTTTCAAATGATCGAACCACTGTTTATGTGTGTACAGTTTTATATATTCTTTAACCAATCACTGAGCGTGTGATTTCGGTTTACATCAAACGATATGAAATGGAATGTTCAAACAGATATGCTGTATTCTGTTGGTGATACTGAATTGAACTGTAGAAATATGTGAGAATTATACTCTGTTGGCACACATTATCTGTATCATACCGCCAAAGTGATGGTGTTGTTCTTTCCTATAGGATAAGGCTGCAAGCCTCAAACCAAACCTTTCCTCTTCTCTAAGCTTGTTAATGGCCAGTAATAAACTAAGTGATGTTTAAGAGTGCGTCGACCGGAAATAAGACTCAACACCATGTGTGCGGCTGGCAAGCATTTCACCACTGAACTGCTGATACAAGGAAAAAATGGACATGCTGACATACTTTATAACATAAAGCAGAATTAAAATGGAATAATTCTTTTAGCTATTGTTTATAACGAAAACATTTTTCTGAAATAAAATCAAAGCAGGTATGATTATAAAACTGAGTGAAAGGAGGGAATAAATTTATCCTTTGGATCAGATTGTTTTAGTTTTTGATTAATAAATTCATGTGAAAATCAAGTTTTAGTGAGAACGTTTTTATCTGTGGATAATGAAGTTTTTTTGTGTGCTTGTGTTATTTGAAGTCTCTTCGAATTTCATTTGTTAATGTCTTCAAACGTATTCTCAAGATTATTATTATTATTGTTTCCTTTAATTCCTAGAGGAACATAGGGCTTCAGCCACGCGTCTCCATTGCGTTCGGTTCTCTGCTAGAGTCTTCACCTGGCTCCAAGTCTGTCCACATGCTTTCATCTCCTCTTCACATGACCTCCTCCAAGTCACCCTTCCACTGACGACCAACTCGCCGCTTCCCTTTCGGGTTCCACTCGAGCAATGGCTTATCTAGTGATGTCACTTGATGGTTTCCTCAGAGTATGGCCAATCCACCTTCTCCATTTCTTCCTGTCTATTTGTTCCACAATCGGTTCCTGGTTGGCTCGCTCATTGCCAGAGATCTCTGTTGCTGATCTTTTCTGGCCGGCCATCTGATCTTGAGTATTTAGCGAAGACAACTGTTAATGAAGGTCTGTAGTTTGTTTGAGATGCTCTTTATGACGCGCTGGCCAAGTCTCTGATCCGTATATAGTAAGTGGCACTGACTTCACATTGGAGTTGAAAATCCAGATCTTATTTTTGATGCTGAGTGCTGTTGACCTCCACACCGACTTGAGAGTAGTGAAAGCTTGTCTTGCTTTCCCGATCCTCGCTGCTTTGATATCCTCGTCAGTTCCGCCTGTAGTTGAAACGATGCTTCCCAGGTAGTTAGTTGAAGGAGGTTGTTTCTTTCAGGTTCCTCCCATTTATGCTGATTGTTGTCTGTTGTAGTTGCTGTTGGTGGTATTTCCCAGGAATCTTGATTACCTCTATCTTCTCTATGTTCACCTGAAGTCCTAACTTCTCTGGATTCTTCTTCTGCCAACTTGTTGCCTTTCGCTTGCATATCTTCGCGTTTGTGGGAAATCAGACATATATCATCGGCGAAGTCCAAATCCTCCAGGTATTTTGTGTGAGTCCATTTTATTCACGTTTCCTCATTGCCCAATGTTTGTCGCATTATCCAGTCTACTGCAATCAGGAAAATCATTGGCGACAGTAGGCAGCCTTGTCTTACTCCTGTCCTCACTTCGAAGGGTTCCGTAAGTTTCCCGTTGTGGAATACTTGACATATAGCATTGTCGTACAGCTGTTGGATGAGATATATAATTGTCGGTGGCACCCCGCAGTAGCAAAGTAGTTGCCAAATCACCTCTCGATCGACGCTGTCAAAGGCCTTTTCAAAGTCGATGAAGTTGAGATAGAGATGACTGCCATTCCAAGCTTTGTTCAATGATGATCCGTAATGTGGCGATCTGATCTCAAGATTATAGGAGATTTTAAAGGATTGATGAGATTCATAAAACTATATATTACTGATTATTTCACATGAGTAGTTGAATGCCACTCATATAGCCCATCAGTGCTTGCCATCCACCCAGATCGGAGTAATCTAAACACTGGTCAGCCGTTTCCATTGTTTAAGGCCAAGCTCATCAACAGTGTACCCAGTTCGATTTAGTTCAAAGAACCGAATCATTTCAAACCACTTGATTTCTGACTAGGTAAAATGACTTTAAAAGTGGAATATGTTACAAATAGAGGCAATCGGCAGGAACCCTCAAACCTCGGTTTTCTGCCTATCAGCATTTCTCAACAATGAGTTTCTACAACCCAGAAGTAACTATTGTCCCCTCCGCATACCTCAATGCTTTGAACCCGCTCCACTCATTACCACTAAACACGCGACTGACTTTCTGTAGGAGTATAATGAATACACTTATTGGTAACCAAGGTGTAATAAATACCATATGTGTAGTCAATAGTGCTGGTACTAAGTGAACTCTGTCATTCTCCACGGGGGAGTAATTCCCTATAAGGTTGTAGATATGCCTTTTTGATAAGTGCCATAAAGCAGGAAGCCAAGGTAATGGAGAAGATTTGTAGCCTAGGTGGTGATTTTCTACTGAAGTCTTAGCCAAAGATGTTGTCTAGAAGGACGATGAAAGCTTCGCAATTAAATCAACGAGCTTAGAGAAAACAACTTATTCAATGTGTTAGCCTTCCTACTCAAAGCTTCCAACGATCTGACTTCAACATATATATATGTATATGTTATATTATTATGTGATATGTCGTTGTTTATTTTTCAACAGATCTTGCCATGTCCTGAACTTGAACCATGCTTGAAACTTCGTTTACCAGGATATATGAGAGAAGAAATTTTCAACTACAATTCATTATATTACTTTCTTTATGTAACAATAGTTATAGTAAGTTAATCGGTTATAATATAGTGCAAAATCTGTATAATACTATGAATGTTAATATTTTCATGAATGGCATCAATCCATGAAATCCCTGACAGTTAAACTGAGTCAGGTAGGGAGATGCAGACTTCCGGGTTGGGGCCCTCGGGACTCTAAGAATCAATGGCTGGAGACAATATGTGACATGGCTCAAAATCGTTGTCAGTGGCTTACGCAGATGTATTCTGTCTCTGTAATCTTTCATATTCCTTTCTACCATTACTCGTTCATTCTGTTTCACTCTTATACTTGTCAAAACTCTATTGATTCTCTTCACTCATTTTCTTGTCTACCTTTGTGTGCTATTTGGAACGTGGCAACTGGAACTGCTGCACTTCGGTGCCAAGTTCTATATTGAATCCAGCCAGCCAGCCAGCAGTCCTCTAGACAAGTGATAATGCCATTAAAACGAAATATCGAATTCAGAGAACATATCATAAAGTTATTACTTTCCTACCATGGGTAATTATAGTGAAACGATTATACCGTAAACATTTGGGTCGCTCAGCTCTGCTGATTTGAGTTCTGTCGTGATTCAGATCTTCATTAAACCTTCAAGTATCACCATTATTCCGGTTACGGTCTACCAACTCAAGGTGATCTTCGACGCGCAGCGTTAAAACACTGGCATGAATTTTGCATTACAGCATGTAACTCTATGATTGAACATAAACTACACTGTTATTATTCATTCCTTGTAATCTTATTGGAATGTAGTGCTTCGGTTGCACATTTCTATTACGCTTGATTTTCTACTATCACTTTCAACTGATAGCTTTTATTTTTACCTAACATAATCTTATCACTATCATTATTCTGACATGCTCAATTCGTTAGTGTTCATTTGAGTTTCACTCTAGTAGCTGGCAATGTGATGTCATAAGAATACCTCTCCAGTGTATGTCCAGTTCATCTATATTTTCTTCTACCTGTTTATTTCTGGTAATAAATATCTCATGGTCTTTATGTTACAAGAGTGGAAAAAAGTAGAAATATAGAAAATTAAACAGTTTACATACTCAAATGGTATGCATTTGTAGGTCTTTATCTTCTATGTTTATTGTTTATTATTTTGACTTAATAGATGACAATTAATTTTGGTGCCTACTTAGAAGTGAGTCGATCAAAATCTACCGATTAAGTGTGCACTTCGATCGTTAAGCTTAACAGTATGATACTAATTCACACTACTGTGCACTGTAATTTGATATATAAGGCTAACAGAAGGTTTTTGACTCATGTTTTGAGTACTATGCATAAGATTTCGATCAAGAGATTATTTCATTATCCCATGTGAGATACAAATGAATTCTTTGAACAAATTTTTTGGAAGTCTTCCACCAGCATTGATGAGAAGTGATTTTCTTCAAATATTTATTTGGTTACAACCATCCAGGGGAAGTATTTTTTTAAACAAAATCAACTTAATATCTAGTTTTGATCCTTGTTAGAGTCACAGATGCGTACTGCTGAAGCGTCGTGGACAAAGACGAAATACCTACCCAGTGCTGTTCGGCTTTCAATAATCCTTAAACTGATATCCACTTATGACAAAATCGACACTGGAATTAATTAAAAATCTAAACAAAATGGGAGGAATTTGAAAGAGGCAACCTTATTTACCTACCTGGGGAGCATCGTCTCAACTAGAGACGGACGGAACTAATGGGGATATCAAACCAAGAATCAGGAAAGCAAGGCAAGCTATCATTACTCTCAAGTATGTGTGGAGATCAGCAGCACTCAGCATGAAAAATAAGATCCAGATTTGCAAATTCAATGTGAAGTCAGTGCTACTTGCCATACGGATCAGAGACTTGGCATCGCGTCGCGTCATGGTCACTTCGAACAAACTACAAACCTTTATCAACAGCTGTCTTCCCTTAGTATTTTACTCAAGATCAGACGGCCAGATGAGATCAGCAACAGGCATCTCTAGAAGCGAACCAACCAGGAATCAATTGTGCAACAAATACGCAGGAAGAAATGGAGGTGGATTGGCCATATTCTGAGAAAACCATTAAGTGAGTGGAACCCAGACGAGAAGCGGTGAGTTAGTCATCTGTGCGAGGATAATATGGAGGAGGTCATGAGAAGAGGAGATGAAAGCTTGTGGGCAGACGTGGTGCAAGATGGAAACTTTGGCGGAGAACCAAACGCAATGGAGACATGTGGCTGAAACACTATGTTCCTCTAGGAACTAAAGGAGACAATAATAATTTACGAAATCTTAATGATATCTCAGTCTTCCTGAATGCAAATACTGTTACTTTGCAAAATGTATTTCATTGTTTCATTTATTCATCAAAGTATATGTATGAATCACAGTATCTTAAAGTGAATTATTCCCATATCCAAAGTTGTTTATTGTCTGTTTTTGTAATAATTTTTTACTTTTAGGTTGTCTTTAGTTGCTTAATGTGGTATGTATTCGGTGCAACGATTGCACGTTACCTGAAGCGAAAATATTCTGAATAAAAAACCTTTTTACCCTAAATATTAGATGTAATATGAACTGTGATTTCCGGTTAACAAATTTTGTCTATTTGGTTTTGTTAAGATGTTGTTTTGTTATAGGTTACATTCAATGGTTACCAAACATTGAGATAAATAAATATAAAGCCTCCTTTTACTTTCAATTCAATTTTTAGTATTCATATAATGTTTTATACTAATCTTCGAAGTGTAACAACAGAACACAAGGGCCAGGCAACAGATCATTTATTAAAGAAAATCAACAAATATTTATAGATTTTAATGCACATTATTGTGAATTATTGTCAGTAGAAAATACAGTCTTTTGATTGGTTGTTTCTCACAGAAAGTTAACCTCGCATCTCTTTGTGGCTGTGACAGATCATCCATATGCTAACTGTATCCGCCTACGCAAAGCCTTTGTTCTCATTTTCTCACCACCAGTATTGGGGACATAAACATTGACGTCAATTACTGTCTACCAGCTTTGGCTAGCAGCCAGCTCTCGCCACAGAAGTGCATAGTCTTCTGAATCAGACTAGGAATTATCTGAACGCAAAGTAATAATCTTCATGAAATCTATGCGATATTATCTAAATACATAAACTAAGAATATTTATTCACTAAAAATTTTGCTTTCAAAAGGTTTGTAAATATTTAGATACATGGGAAATATAAACAGTATTTACTTGGGTTGTGTAAGATAATTAAAAATCTAAATTGCAAAGTGCAGAGGTAGATCTAAGCATTAAGGATCCCAAAACTATATTTATTTGTGGCCTCTTGATGTGACCGTGATGACATTAAGAAGTTAGAGGTAGATTTGGATTTATAGGGTTATGTGATCCATGTATTAACGTGCCACTCAATATACCATCTGAAATTATTCTGTGGTTATTATGAACAAATAATAATGATGTGGGAAATTGTTTGAAGGTGGAACTTTAGGACTGTTGTAGAATACATATGTTTGATCGCGAGCCGGTAGTACGGGCTGCATTCTGTCTACTGTATATAGCAACATTTTTAGAGGGGCTTTCAAAGCAACTAAAGTTCTGAGTATTTAAGCTGTAGATTGTGACAGGATCATTGCTTCCGTGTTCTCAGACTTAACAGTGTGGTTTGTCCTCTGAAGAAGTGCAGTACTTGAAGCTCCTACATTATCTTGCATGGCCCTGAATTTTAGTAAATATTTTCGCGTTAGACAAGCTGTTAAATTTGAAGAATATTAAACAACTGAATTAGAAAATCTTTTCGGCGAAAGATTGTTTATTTACAGTACTGTAATAATTTAAGACCTTATTTTTATGGCATTTAAAGCTCGTGAGTTCAGCATATAACATGTGATTATCCCTTGGAATGATGTTATGCGTTTTGTCGTATAGTTAGGTAGGTAGCCAAGAATGTATTCTACTTTTATCGAATTTTCACTGACGTCTTTGAGGTGCTTCCCCAGGGGGTGGCAAATAAATGAACATCTTGAAGTATGCAGTGGATCTCTTCTAAGGCTCCACATAATCCAAATCAGTATTGTCTTCTTTCATTTAGTTGCTTATGAGATCTGCAGTTTTGAAATAAGAATGGCCACAGATACTCTTTCTGCATGTGGTCTTGTGACAAAATTTGGTTATAATATCAAGCAAACCTTGTTGTTGCATGATCAGTATTTTCCATATTATCTGCCGGTAGACAGAGGCACAGTCTACTAACCTGGTTTTCATCATTTTCGCAGCACTTACCATTTCCCCACGTTTTCTTCTAACGTGTATGTTTCTAGGAAACGAGCATTTTTAACAAAATCAGTTTGCAAGTTTTCTCGAACTGCAGTGACATGGGACTGCTGTTATGTTCACTTAACATGCTAAACCTCGGGAAACTAGGTGTATAAAGACGACTCAGAAAATTAAAATCTCGGAACGACAGTGAGAGGCCGAAATTCGAACCTCTGCCTTAAAATGGTGTTCGGTAAGTAAAGATTGAATGTAAGACGCTGAACTGACCATCGGAACGCTTTATGCAGTTCAACATGCCACGTTAGGGGGGTAGTCTCACACAGAAGATGGAGTTGCTTCACGAGCCTTAATGATCGGTGTTTTGTACTAGACACCACGACAGTTTTAGCGTGCTCGTGGTACACTAGTTAGAAATTATTCAACTGGTCAACCACCTATGAAAATATAACAGTTAAAGCAGCTTAAAACGTTGGCTACCCCGTAGTCTATACTTCATGGAAATAGTGCGGGAATCTGAGGTGAAATTCACAGGTAGTAGGTGGTATCAGATTACTCACTGGGCTTAGAATTGCATATTCCTACAGAAAACAGAACACAAAAATTTCAGAGAAGGCCAACTCAGTCATTTTACCGAGCCCACGAATTTCAGTTTACCAATAACTGCTGCCATTTAGTAGGTGTAATTGCCATACATTCAGGCAAATAATGATAAGTTAAACGAACTGTGGGACCTCCATTAATTGAGTCTCTAAGCCCAGCGAAGGGACATTTAACTACCACGCTAACTATCTAAAGGGTAGACTTCCAACATCTGAAACGTCAGTGAACAATGAATAGGTTACTGCAATATCGAATCTGTTTTAGCTATGAAGTCTGAGTACAATAAAGTTCGGTTTGTCAACTTAAAAGACGATTTAACTAAAACTTTATAATTTCCAAAAGAAAGACCCGACTGGACGAGAAAATCACTAATGACTATGGATGGCTGTAGCGCATCAGGCGAACAACTCCAAACTGAGCTTTTACAAGTGACCAAGAGATAGTAAAGAAACATGAAAGCATAGATTTCCATCAGCCACACCGACAAAAATTCTAAGCCAGTGCCCAGCTGCCATCACGTATCCGACATTTTGTCTCTCTGATACGTCTGCAGGATGGCTGACTACACGAAATTTAGGGTCTCGCATAAATATCAAAACTACTATGTTGACAGTTTAGCTACATCAGATGCTCACAGTAGACTGTGGAACATCAAAACTTAGAGATGTTCAGGAGGTGACTCTAAACTTTAGGAACCCAAAATAACCTTGATAATGGATGACCCTGATGAATGACCTTGAGCAGGCAATCATCTGACTCGCAGTGCATGCTGTACATCGTTTGCGATGCAAATTCGCTCCAGAGTTTGTTTTCGATTACTGTTTAGAGAACGGGGCCAAGTTAAACTTTAGACACCAATAACTACCAATCAGCGATGACGTCAAATTATCCAATCAGATTCACGAACGGAGTTCAATGTTGTATAGCGCTTGATTCATTTCAATGCGTGCCCTTACAAGGTTACGTTTGCAGTTCGAGGAGGATAGTGTAGTGCAGTATTGCCTAGACTTAGGATTGCTAAGAAAGGAGAGGAAGTGTTCCTGTGGTGGTGTTATGACTCTAAAAAGCTATTCGAGGTCAACTGATGGATTTGTCCATCGTTGTGGAATATGTTGGAAAAGAGTTAGTATTAGAGAGGGTAAGCTGGTAATTTTAATATTTCGTAGGGACCTTTTTTGCTAGATCACATCTCTCTCTAACCCAAATTTTGTATATCTGCAATTATTGGGTACTGAAGCAGCCAGTGAGAGCGGCAGCTGCGGAGACGGAGAACAGCCTCGTCTCAACAGTTCAATGGTACCAGCACTGCAGGGACATAGCCTCATGGAAAATG